GCATGCTATGCCCCTACATGCGTACAGCCAGGCACGTTATGCACATACACACATACAACTAGGCATGCTATGCCCATACACACATACAGCCTGGCATGATATGCCCATACATGCATACAGCCAGGCACGTTATGCACATACACGCATACAACTAGGCATGCTATGCCCATACATACATACAGCCAGGCATGCTATGCCCATACACACATACAGCCTGGCATGTTATGCCCATACATGCGTACAGCCAGGCACGTTATGCACATTCATGCATACAACTAGGTATGCTTCGCCATACACACATACAGCCAGGCATGCTATCCCCATACACGCATACACCTAGGCATGCCATCCCCATACACACATACAGCCAGGCATACCATGCCCATACACACATACAGCTAGGCATGCTATGCCCATACACACATACAGCCAAGCATTCCATGCCCATACACACACACAGCCTGGCATGCCATGCCCATACACGCGTACAGCCTGGCATGCTGTGCCCATACATGCATACAGCTAGGCACGTTATGCACATACACGCATACAACTAGGCATGCTATGCCCATACACACATACAGCCCTGCACGCTATGCCCATACATGCATACAGCCATGGATGCTATGCCCATACATGCATACAACTAGGTATGCTATGCCCATACACACATACAGCCAGGCATGCCATGCCCATACATATATGCAGCTAGGCCATCCCCTTACACACATACAGCCAGGCATACCATGCCCATACACACACACAGCCAGGCATGCCATGCCCATACACGCGTACAGCCTGGCATGCTATGCCCATACATGCATACAGCCAGGCACGTTATGCACATACACGCATACAGCTAGGCATGCTATGCCCATACACACATACAGCCAGGCATTCTATGCCCATACATGCATACAGCCATGCATGCTATGCCCATACATGCATACAGCCATGCATGCTATGCCCATACATGCATACAGCCATGCATGCTATGCCCATACATGCATACAGCCATGCATGCTATGCCCATACATGCATACAACTAGGTATGCCATGCCCATACACACATACAGCCAGGCATGCTATGCCCATACACACATACAGCTAGGCATGCCATCCCCATACACACATACAGCCAGGCATGCCATGCCCATACACACGCACCAGTCAATGTTGATAAGGTTGCGGCACATCACGTTGCCCACTACTGCTGGGTTGAACGCATTCACCTGAGGGGGTGAGGAGAGACACGGTAGGGACAGGCAGGGTAAAGAAAGGAGGAGGGTGTGGGGCGGAGAAAAGGCGAGGCACAGAGTGTCGCACCGAGTCACACTGCTGGCTGCTGCGAGGTTGAAAGCATTGACCTGAGAGGGTGAGGTGAGACACGGTAGGGGCAGAATCGGGGAAGGAGGGAGGTGTGGGGCGGAGAGAGGAGATAGGAGAGAGGAGAGAGGTGAGAGGAGAGAAGAGATAGGAGATAGGAGAGAGGAGATAGGAGAGAGGAGAGAGGAGAGAGGAGATAGGAGAGAGGAGAGAGGTGAGAGGAGAGAGGAGATAGGAGATAGGAGATAGGAGAGAGGAGATAGGAGAGAGGAGATAGGAGAGAGGAGATAGGAGAGAGAAGATAGGAGATAGGAGAGAGGAGATTGGAGAGAGGAGATAGGAGAGAGGAGATAGGAGAGAGGAGATAGGAGAGAGGAGAGAGGTGAGAGGAGAGAGGAGATAGGAGATAGGAGATAGGAGAGAGGAGATAGGAGAGAGGAGATAGGAGAGAGGAGATAGGAGAGAGAAGATAGGAGATAGGAGAGAGGAGATAGGAGATAGGAGATAGGAGAGAGGAGATAGGAGAGAGGAGATAGGAGAGAGGAGATAGGAGAGAGAAGATAGGAGATAGGAGAGAGGAGATTGGAGAGAGGAGAGAGGAGATAGGAGAGAGGAGAGAGGAGATTGGAGAGAGGAGAGAGGAGAGAGGAGATAGGAGATAGGAGATAGGAGAGAGGAGAGAGGAGAGAGGAGAGAGCGCACGGCACTAGCGCGCACGGCGCCGGCGAGCACGGCGGCAGCCCCGGCGCGCACGGTGGCAGCACGCACGGCGCCAGCGCGCAAGGCGCAAGCGCGAAACGCGCCAGCGCGCAAGGCGCCAGCGCAAAACGCGCCAGCGCGAAACGCGCCAGCGCGAAACGCGCCAGCGCGCAAGGCGCCAGCGCGAAACGCGCCAGCGCGAGACGCGCCAGCGTGGAAGGTGCCAGCGTGCAAGGCGACAGTGAGAAACGCGCCAGCGCGCAAGTCGCCAGCGCAAAACGGGCCAGCGCGAAACGGGTTACGGGCTCCGCGCTAGGTGGCAGTTAGGCATGATAAGGGAAAAGAGTTAGTTTGAGTTAGGACTAGGTGTGAGCAAGGAAGTCAGTGTGAGCAAGGACTAGGCGTGAGCAAGTACTAGGCGTGAGCAAGTACAAGGAGTACTAAGCAAGAACTAGGTGTAAGCAACTAGGTGAGGACTGACCTACACGAGCAAGAACTAGGCACGAACGAAAGAGCAAGAACTAGGTACAGTACAGTAAGTGGGAAGGACGAGCAGAAACAAGAAGCTCCAACAAGCCCTACCAGGGGCGTATTCGCTTTGCCCCAGAAAGCTAAACCAAGTACAATTCAGCAAAGTTACTACACCCAAGTATTCTATTAAATAGCATGTATTACAGTCCGATTTCTGTTACACTCACCTCAAGTTTGGTTCAGGTTTGTATTCTCGCACGGAGAGCGAGTCCCGTCGAACGTGAGAGACTGTACAGCGTTACAGTCACGAAGCAGATAAATCAATCGTTCCCGCCCGAAACGAAACCGCCGATCTAAACGAATACTTCAGAAATACAACACTTCTTTTATATGAAACCGTAAATTATTGCAGTAGTTAGTAATGTTACATGCTACATTAATCTTGTAGTATTTTACTCACAAAAGTTTTATGCACAACCCAAATGAAAAGAAAAAGGTGGGGGGGAAATACTAACTTGAGTTGTGAACGGGAAAAATTTAGGCATACGTCATCCGACAATTCACGTCGAGCCTTGTGTTTTACTATTTCCTGCTTACAGGTTTGAGACGCGTGTAAAAACTGTGAGACCAAATAGAATAAAAAATGTACAGCGAACGTTCTTGCCTTCGCTTGACAGCATGCAAATAAACAGTCAATGTTTAGCAAATTTCGACTACAGTGAACGTTCTTTGCCTGTGGTTCCGGCAAACAGCACAGTCAAACTGCAACTTGACAGTCAAGATCTAAACAAACTAATACGCAACCCAAAAAAAAACTGCCCAAGTTTGCTTAGGAATTCAGCAAACGACTCTACAGTCCGCCTTCGGCTGATAGTGTACTCATGCAACTAAAAACTCACGGTTCCAATAAATTTCGAGAAGAGATGGAGTCACACTGCAACTTGATTGTCAACGTCAAAACGAACCAATCGTCTTGACGGTGTGCCATAATGTACCATCATCCCACGTGAAACACTGCAACTAAAAAGTCAAGCTTGAATAAAAAGCCACAACAGTAAATATCTTTTTCCTCTCGTCTCGACAAAAATGCATAACTTCTAATAGCTACAGACAAGTACACGCCTCGCATCCATAATCACCATTTGATGTTGTTTTTCAACCAAACCTTTTTTTTCATGTTGAGATTTGTAGAAAACCCATGGCATTGTTCTCGTTTATACATTTCTCATCAAAATCCCCTAATGGCTTCAAATCACGTTCACGCTCATATCCAATCTGAAAAACAATTGCACATAGCTTACCTTACAAACGAACTCTCTTACCTATTTATTCGCATGAGAGAATTGCTCTTTCATTTCAGGATTCTATCAAGCTGCTACGCAACCCTAACGACGCATTGGCGTCGAGCCTTGTTTCCGAATCCGTCCAACTTACGGAAACAATTTCGCGCGATTCCTTAGCCTAACAAGTAACCCCCTTTTTTTTCGAATCCGTGCGGGCTATACTTGTAGCAGGGCAATCTGCAGTTCTCCCCCTACACGTTGGACCACTCGCGACGTCTTTATGATCGGTCGTCGCAACGCAACGTCATCACCCCAAGAGTACAGATCAATGCCGCGAGACGCGCCACGGCAATTGTTTTCACCAGGTGTCTCTCTTTTCTCTGCTCACCGCGCGGCACCTGAAATCTGACCTGCCGGGGAATACCGTTGGACACGGAGAAACTCCCCAGAATTCCATCAGGAGCGCATGCCGGGCATCTCCCTTCCCATGTTGCGCCCGCCAGGATTCCCTCCCTCCCAAGTTCCCAAACCAACCAAGTCAAGCCCGTAACTAATCAAATCGAGCTGAGGGCAGGTCTAAATAGTTCAATTAGGCTTTTGGGACCGTTATTACGAAAATGGGTACAACAAATGGAAATGATCCCAAAATCGTTTCCCCCCCAAACCGCGTCCCATGTTGCGAATGAAAATATAAGCTGGCGCCAACTGGGTGCGTCGCAAAAAATGGTCGCTTAAGACGCCCCAAAACGCAGTTACCAAAATATCGCAGCCCGAGAAAATTATGTTTCGTGATGGGTTGGGTGGCAGTGCGATTTGGTGTTGCGCCACGCGAGCTGTTCGCGACATCGCCTTTTTCTCGTCAAGCCATGCTTGGCGAAACTCCGAAGTGCCAAATGTGTCCACCCACCCCCACATGCACCTACCGTCACCCGAATCGTAAACGAATCTTTGCTGGGGTACATGTACCTTCACATGCGTCAAGCGTCCCGAGTTACGGAAATTTCGCGCACGTGTCCTCGTGAAATAAAAACGTGGTTAAAATCGGGTACTTTTCACGAAATGAATAGGGTCTGAACTATTTGGTCCCGCTCTTACCTGGTGGAAAAAAAATGCCCGCGGAGGTTGCGCTGCGTCACGTGCTGCTTGCCGCCTCCTTCCAGTTCCTCCTGGTCATATAATTCCTCCCATGTATCCCCGCTTCTCACGCTTCTCCCACTCCCCGTCACCGGCGCCACTCCCTCAGTCAGGCCGGGGAAACATCCAAACATCGGGCTCGAAGTTGCTTGACGAGCCCCTGGAATATCCTAGAATGGTCGTTCGACTCCATTCTTAGCCTATAGAACAATACAAATAGCAAGGAAGAACTGAACAGGTATACAGACTCCCTACCGCACTCATTCCCATCGCCGATTCCCATCTCTGACGTTGAACGATCTTCCGCGGTACTGCTAATTATCACGAAGAACTTGGCTCTGACGTTGAACCTCCTTGGTTCCTGGCAGGCGCACGTGGTTGCCTCTTCTCAAGGGTCGCTTGCGATCCAACTCGGTCAGGCAGAATGACGAACCACCATAGGTCATTCCTCTTCCTGATCCGCCGGACCGGCGCACGGCGCGGGGACACTGTTCTGCCCGCCCTTCTCCTCGCCGCCTTTCTCGTCCTCGGCTCGACCTCGCAAGCAGAGTCTGTCGCCCAGCGCGCGCGATCCGCGCGAATGCTGTCAGCTCTTCCGATCGGAGACACGCCGCGCGAGTGGAATCGGCTCGGGACCGCGTCGCGCCATTTCCAAGCGAAGCCGGCGGCGGTTGCGGCGAGATCTGCGGGAAGACGGCTATCTGCCACCACCGGTGCCGGCGTCAGCTTGGGCGAGGCAGCAGCCGACAGTTGGCTCTCGTACTTGACAACGAAAGCCACAGAATCTGAGAAACGTAACGATGGATTCTTTTTGCAGGCACGGCAGCAGAGAGAGCTTGCTGCTGCAAACGCGGCTGAAACCCGTCAACCAACTTCATCGCAGCCTGTAACGGATAGCTCTTTGGCGGAGAGTGATGACGATATCTCGCATTGTCCTCAGGATGCGAGGCTCGACGCGTCGTTTGCGCTGTGCACTGCGCTCGACAACCACAAGAACGTGAAGAGTTATACCGATCTCGGGGGACACTCTAACGAGTACGGCGCGTATTCGCGGCACAACCAAATTTACGACGCTACAGGGAAAGGGAAGTGGTATATTGAAGAGCAGTATTACGGGTTTTTGTTTATCCAAGCGGGATTGGCGTTCAACAATTCGGACGCAATTCGCGTCGGAATGAAAATCTACAACTGGGGATTCGACCAATTGGAAGCCGACGGATCTTTCGGCTGCCCGGATGTTTACCACAGCGCGGGTTTTTTCTTGGAGTCTGCTGCCCGAGCTGCCCTGCTGCTGCGACAATCGCCGATTGGTAACCAGCCGAAGTACCAGCGGTGGATTCGCAAGGCTGTGACGCACGTCGCAGCAATGGCGGCGTGGTTCGTCCGACCCGATATTGAGCGAATCGGTTGGAGAAACGACGCGATTCACACGCACAGGCGCTTTCTAACGGGCACAGCTCTCGGAATGGCCGGGATACTAACAGACAACCATAATTTGATCCACAGGTCGATTAAGTACATCAGGAGCGGCCTCGAGTTGCAGGACCCATCCGGCTTTAACTACGAGCGACACGGCCACGACTGCAGCTACCAGGGAATAGGTTTGGTATACGCGGCGCGCTATTATCTCTATGTCGCGCCGCACATTCAAGAGTCCGAGATGTCAGACGAGGAGCAAGTCGAATCGGTCGAAATCCAGTCCGAGGTCAGATCCCGTCTGCTGGAGTTTGGGCGGAGAGGCGCGGCGTGGCTGGTGACGCGGGTGGGTGCGGACGGCGCACTGAACGCGACGGGCAACACGCGCACGGGGAGCGCGCAGGAGGTGGGACGCAACGGCAAGCCCAAGGCGCTGGCGCGCAAGGACGTGTTCCACGCGCTGCTGTACTGGAGCTGGGTGCTCGGCGATCCCAAGGCGCATCTCGCCGCGTGGCGCGTCGAGGGGGAGCGGACCAGGCGAGTGCGGGCGTCGAGGTGTGATTGTAACGGGGGGTTGGCGTGGGGGTTGGAGAAACGGGAAAATGGGTCTGGGGAAAGCCAGGGCGGCGAGAGTCAGGCGATGTGATTGTAAGAGGGTGGGGGAGATTGATTGGCTTGAAAAAACGGATGTGTTGGAATGGTAGTATGCAAGTGGGAGCCACTATCAGTAGGTACAATGGTAGCTAGCTTTTTACCTCATACAGTTCTTGTTGCCGTAGCAGCAAATTGCGGCATGTACACCTAATATACTATAATGAGTCATCCTCTGTATGAGCATGTCAATCAAATGCAGTCTGATCATGAAAGGACTAAGAACATGTGCCTATCACTGTGGATGGTTGCTGGGTGCCTGGAGTGGCTCTACTGCCTGAATCTCAGATGCCATTAGCTGGATAGCGCCAGACAGTGCCAGCTCACTAATGGACTTGCTGCCACGGCACTCCTTCCTAGGGGCATGGGTACCACCGAGCAGCTTGCAGGCTCATATGAGTGGCTCTAGTGCCTGGAGCTCAGATGCCATCAGCTGGATTGCGCCAGACAGAGCCAGCTTCTCATTTGATGCTGCTGTTACAGGTGAAATCTCAGAGGCCTTGGAAGGCCGGAGTAGCTCAGGACTCAAGTGCCTGGAGCTCAGATGTCATCAGCTGGATTACGCCAGCCACTTCTCGCTCAGCAGCGCTGCTACCGCTGCCCTCTAAGGGGCCTTGGTAATCTAGGCTCAACCCTGTGTCTCTAGTGCTTGAAGCTCAGATGCCATCAGCTGAATAGCGCCAGACAGAGCCAGCTTCTCGCTCAGTAGTGCTGCTACCGCTGCCCTCTCAATGGGTCTCTGGTCTGCTTCCCTGGCTGGCGAGCTTTGAAGGGAGTAGCCTGGGTCCAATGCTGGCCGCTGAAAGAGCAGGGCAATATCCTCCACGATTGTTGTTTGGTATCCTTGCAGCTGCAAGCGAGCAGCAGAAGCAAGGCGGCTGTACAGCTGTGAGGGATGAGAGGAAAGAGGAGGGAGAGAGCAGGGGGGGAGAGAGTTGAGAAATGAGGGAGGAGTGAAAGAGCAGGGCAACGACCTCTCTGATCGTGGTCCGGTAACCTTGCAGCTGCGAGCCAGCAGCAGAAGCAAGGCGGACTTACACGAAAAGCTATGGATGGAAGACAGGAGGGAGGAGAGAGAGAGAGCGCAGGGCAACATCCCATCTGGTCGTCCTTGTAGGTGTGAGCCGGCAGCAGGATGGTCCCCTTCCTCACAAGTGGTCCTTCGTATTTTGAGCAAAAGCCATACAATGGTCGTCCAGGGCTCAGCATAGGGCTTACCTCTCTCTCGCTCTCCCTCCCAGTCGCCCCTCCCCCTGCCATCCTCCCCATCACTGTCGCTACTCTCTGCTCCAACCACTGTTCCTAAAAGTGATTTTTGAGTCGACTAAAAAATCTCTCTCGGTCTCCCTCCCAGTCGCCCCTCCCCCTGCCATCCTCCCCATCACTGCCGCTGCTCTCTGCTCCAACCACTGTTCCTAAAAGTGATTTTTGAGTCGACTAAAAAATCTCTCTCGGTCTCCCTCCCAGTCGCCCCTCCCCCTGCCATCCTCCCCATCACTGTCCCTACTCTCTGCTCCAACCACTGTTCCTATAAGTGATTTTTGAGTCGACTAAAAAATCTCTCTCGGTCTCCCTCCCAGTCGCCCCTCCCCCTGCCATCCTCCCCATCACTGTCGCTGCTCTCTGCTCCAACCACTGATCCTATAACCCTCCTGGAAAACCCATCCTATACATACCTCCCTCTCAGTGTCTTTCCCAGTCGCCCCTCCCCCTGCAATCCTTCCCATCACCGTTGCTGCTCTCTGCTCCAGGCGCCAGCTGCGGCCGCCACTCAGCCAATCAGAGGCGTCTACGTGGCGCCAGCCAGCCGCTGCCAGCTCAGCAGCAGAGGCCAAAGCGGCCCTAAGCCAAGCCACTATGCTGTCGTCAGGGCCGGCTGGGGTGAGAGAGAAGTGGGAGGAGTCTGAGGAGGGATGCACGGGGGGGAGCGGAGGGGGGGACAGGGGGATGGCATGGCAGGGCAGGGAGGGGACTTAGGCAAGCCACGCCACTCTGCTGGCGTGTGTCTCTGCCATTTCTGTACCCTATTACCGTCTAATACAACGGACCAATTAAGCGAAGTGCGAGGAGTCTGAGGAAAGGGGCAACCGGGGAGGGGGGGGGGGGGTGGTGGGGGAGGGGGGGAAGGGGTGGGGATGGGCATGGAGGCAGAGATGCCAAGGCAGGGACAGGTCTAAGCCAAGCCACTATGCTGTCGTCAGGGCCGGGTGGGGTGAGAGAGAAGCGCGAGGATTCTGAGGGGCGTCCAACAGAAAAGGAGGGGGGAGGAGGGGGGGAGGTTGGGAGGGGGAAGGAGGGGGGAAGGTTGGGAGGAGGAAGGAGGGGGGGAGGTTGGGAGGGGGAAGGGGCGTGGAGGATGGGGAGGATGCAGGCACGGAATGGGAGGGATGGGAGGGATGGGAGGGATGGGAGGGATGGGAGGGATGAAAGAACAGAGCTTGTCAGAAGAGATGTCACACGAAGATGATTGAGTCGACTGAAAGGAACGGGAGGTATGGCAAGGAAACGAACCAATCTGATGATTTGGGAAGTCACGGCCCGAATGAGTAAAAAGGCTAGACGACTTTTGAGTCGACTCAAAAGCAGGAAGGGGGGAAGGATGGGAAGATGCGAGCACGGAATGGGAGGTATGGCAGGGGGACGAAACAATCTGGTATTTCGAGAGGACACAGCGTGAATGATTATAAATGCTACACGGCACAGGAAGGAGCGGTCACGTCAACTGACTGACCAATGGGAAGGGAATGTTTAGGCGGCTCAGCAGACAACTGACCAATGGGAAGGCCTGCTGCTTCCAGCAGCGAGGTGTTGAGAGTGTCGTCGAAGGGGCCCAAGATGCTGGCCTGAGAGGGGGGAAGAGGGGGGGGGAGAGGTAGACATGGGGGAAGGAGAGGCATGCGGGAAGAAGGGTGCGATTCCTCCTGCAGAGAGGTGTTGAGCGTGTTGTCAAAGGGGCCCAAGATGCTGGCCTGAGAGGGGGGAAATCGAGGCATGGGGGAAGGAGAGGCATGGAGGAAGGATAGGCATGGGGAGAAACCAGCGTGCGGGAAGGGGGACTTTTCCAGCTGTGAAACAGCGAGTGTTGGTGAAGGGGTCCCTCCCTAGTGTCCAAGATTTTTGCCTAAGGGGGGAGAGGAGGATAGAATTCGCACTTTCAGGCCGTTCGATCACATGCTCACATTCACTGCATGTTCAGTCCAGCTTTAGTCGTCCTCCTCACACTTCCTTTTTAACTGTGAAACTCAGGTGCACCACCACTAGACTTGGCGCTTACAGGCCGTTCGATCACATGCTCACGTTCACTTCACTGCCTGTCTGGTCCAGTCCAGCTATACTCGCCCACCTATAGTGTTGCTCCTCCTCCTTCTCCTGATTTCTCACTATTTCCAGCTATACTCGTCCACCTCACACCTCACACCTCACACCTCACACCTCACACCTCACACCTCTCACCTCACACCTCACACCTCACACCTCACACCTCACACCTCACACCTCACACCTCACACCTCACACCTCACACCTCACACCTCACACCTCACACCTCACACCTCCCACCTCACACCTCACACCTCACACCTCACACCTCACACCTCACACCTCACACCTCACACCTCACACCTCACACCTCACACCTCACACCTCACACCTCCCACCTCACACCTCACACCTCACACCTCCCACCTCACACCTCCCACCTCGTTCTCACTGTGGAAATCAGGTGAGCGACCACTAGACTTGGCACTTACAGGCAGCTCGATCACATGGTCACTGTGCTCTGTATGCCCAGTCCAGCAATACTCATCCTCCTCACCTCTCCCATGCTCCTCCTCCTCCCACCCCTCCTCCTCTTCCTCCCACTCCTCCTCCTCCTCCTTCGCCCCTTGAAAACCCATTCGATCTACAAGCTCATGACCCATTGCTGCACTAAGAGCATCCTCGTTAAGAGGTCTAAGCCCTTCGAACACCACCTCATCCACGAACCCATGGTCCAGAAACAGTTGCCTCGGGCTCAGCCACGGGCCGTACGAGTCAAACACCTCCGAGCCTGGCGCGTAGGCTCGGTGCGCGCCGAGCCTGGCGGTTCGAGAGTCAGGGTCGTAAGCCAAGCAGGAAACAACAGTGGCAGCGCTGCTGTGGTTGAGGCAGTCAGCCCAGGGGACGAGGCAGAGGGTGAGGCCTGGAGTGGAGATGTCATCTCCTGGGAATGGCTGGAGCAGGGGGGAAGGGATGATGGGGGTGGGGGGGTGTTGGAATGGGAGAATGGAAGAGGTGGAGGATGGAAGTGGCAGTGTGTGTTTAGGGTCGACTCAAAACACACTTTTGAGTCGACTCAAAATACTGCAGAGGCTTGAGCATACTACCCGCCCGGGTCGGGTACCCGGATCCGGATCCGCTTTTAGGGCGGGTCGGGTATCCGGAATCCTGAAAATTACCCGGCGGGTCGGGTCCGGGTTACCTGGGCGGGTATTCGATACCCGTTACCCGAAATCTTACCCGACATGTCGGGTAACGGGTACCTGACCCACCGGGTATTGAATACCCGACTTCGGGTACCGCCCCTCTCATGCTGGCAAAAACGCTACCCGGCCCGGTTTAGGTTGTTTTTTGAAGACCATGCTGTCGATGCCCATCCCGGGGGGGCACCATGACAAACACACCAATGGCAGCAGAGGGTAAAGCAGAGGTTGTTCAGGCATTTTTTCGTGGGCGGGTAGCAATACCCGCTTTTAGCCTTAACCGGGTCGGGTATACCCGGATCCGCCTGGCGGGTATTATATTACCCGCCATTAAGGGCCGGATCCGGGTAATGGTCCTGGGGGTATTACCCGACCCGGACCCGACCCGAAAATACCCGACCCGAGGTCGGGTATGGCACAACCGGGTCGGGTCGGGTATTTACCCGGTTTTGCTCATCCCTGGGGGTGGGGGGGTATTGCGAAGAGGGAACTAAAGAGGTGGGAGATGGCAGTGGCAGCGCTGCTGTGGTTGAGGCAGTCAGCCCAGGGGACAAGACGAGGCAGAGGGTGAGACCCGGAGTGGAGATGTCATCTCCTGGGAACGGCTGGGGCATGGAAGACAGGGAGACGAGAACAGAAGAGGTGGGAGGCAGCAGTGGCAATGCTGCTGCCGTTGAGGCAGTCCGCCCAGGGGACGGGGCAGAGGGTGAGTCCAGGTGTGGGGATGTTGGGTGTAGCGATGAAAGTAGGTGGGAGAGAGAAGTGAGCCAGGGGAGGAGAGATTGAGGGGAGGAGAGAGTGAGGGGAGGAGAGAGTGAGGGGAGGAGAGAGTGAGGGGAGGAGAGAGTGAGGGGAGGAGAGAGTGAGGGGAGGAGAGAGAGAGGGGGGGAGACGGCGAGGCGAGGAGAGATCGAGACGTGGTGCAAGCATACCTTAACAGGGTCTAGCGATAGGTCGAGGGCAAACGCCCGGCTGAGTAGCACACTGGCAGCCCACCGCACAGACTGCTCTGATACCAAGTGATGCTGCTGCTGCTGCTCTGATACCAATGGCTGGGTGGGTGCAGTGTGTGGCAGCGGCAGGTTGTTGGCTCCTGCTGCTACCAGCGCTGCAGCATCTGACCTGGTAACGGTGGATGGAGAGGGGGAAGAGACAGAAAGGTCCAGCCAGGAGGGAAGAGACAGAAAGGTCCAGCCAGGGGGGAAGAGACAGAAAGGTCCAGCCAGGGGGGAAGAGACAGAAAGGTCCAGCCAGGGGGGAAGAGACAGAAAGTTCCAGCCAGGGGGGAAGAGACAGAAAGGTCCAGCCAGGGGGGAAGAGACAGAAAGGTCCAGCCAGGGGGGAAGAGACAGAAAGGTCCAGCCAGGGGGGAAGAGACAGAAGGGTCCAGCCAACAGTCATGCAACAACACGGGGAGGGAGATGGTGATATGAGGAGAAGAATGGGTGATATGAGAACAACGCAAGGGGGAATATGTGTGAAACAACACAGCGGGGCCGGACATAAGGAGCAGATACGGAATAGTATCAAGGTTCGGATAAGGAGAAGGATGCGAGATAAGGTAAGATATGGAGCAGTGGTTTAGTAGTTTCGTTTTGAGACGTCTCAGAACATGGTATCAAGGTGCGAAAAAGGACAAGGATACAGGTAAGATATGGAGCAGGTAAGATATGGAGCAGGTAAGATATGGAGCAGGTAAGATATGGAGCATGTAAGATATGGAGCAGGTAAGATATGGAGCACCGGGACAAGGCGATCACCTGCACATGTCGCAGCGGGATTGGATGGTTTGCAGGAGTGGGGAGCCTTGGAGCCAATAGCTGAGCCAATCCTGGTGTCAGCAGCACATGGCATGGCATAGCAGGGGCAGAATACTATTTTTGAGGGGCTTAAAAAATAGACGCCAATCCTGGTGTCGGCAACACATGGCATGGCATAGCAGGGGGTGGAAGGCGAAGCCAAGGGGGGGGTCATTTCCAGGGGTAGGTTGCACCCAGGTTGGGGTACTGACTGCCATGTTTGGAGAATATATCCCTCACCATTCCACCTCAGTCAGCAGACCATCTCGTGAACGAATGAGCGGAGGGGCATGTGAACTGAACGGAGCGGCGGAGGGGTCATGGGACGAGGTGCGAGTGGTGAGACGATCCTCACCAGATTATCTCACATGAGATCACCACATCAGAGCACATAAGTGGATGGGATTGAGCCATCTCATGGTCATCAGGCAGCACAGCAATGTAGGCTGCCCAGAAGGTCCCCCGCGTTTCCGCACGCTCCCACAGATAGTACTCTCAAGCTATCAACCCTATCAACCCTATCAACCCTATCAACCCTATCAACCCTACCAACCCTCTCAACCCTATCAACCCTATCAACCCTATCAACCCTACCAACCCTCTCAACCCTATCAACCCTCTCAACCCTATCAACCCTATCAACCCTATCAACCCTATCAACCCTACCAACCCTCTCAACCCTATCAACCCTATCAACCCTATCAACACTATCAACCCTACCAACCCTCTCAACCCTCTCAACCCTATCAACCCTATCAACCCTACCAACCCTCTCAACCCTCTCAACCCTCTCAACCCTATCAACCCTATCAACCCTATCAACCCTACCAACCCTCTCAACCCTATCAACCCTCTCAACCCTATCAACCCTATCAACCCTATCAACCCTATCAACCCTATCAACCCTATCAACCCTATCAACCCTACCAACCCTATCAACCCTATCAACCCTATCAACCCTATCAACCCTATCAACCCTATCAACCCTATCAACCCTACCAACCCTATCAACCCTATCAACCCTACCAACCCTACCAACCCTATCAACCCTATCAACCCTATCAACCCTATCAACCCTATCAACCCTATCAACCCTATCAACCCTACATGGGGGGACACACTCACATCAGAGCACATAAGTGGATGGGATTGAGCCATCTCATGCTCATAAGGCAATACCGCGACGTAAGCCTCCCAGAAGCTTCCCTCCCCCTTGGCGCGCTCCCACAGCAGGTGCAGCAGCAGCGTCTGCCAGCCTGTCAGCTTGGAGGCTCGGCTTACTGGGCCAATCACAGGGCACTCCATCGCTGTCTGGGAAGGGTGGGGTGGAGGTGGGGGGGGGGAAGAAAGAAGTGGGGGAGGTGGGAGTTGGAAGAAGCAGCAGTCACTGCCAGCCTGTCAGCTTGGAGGCTCGGCTTAGTGGGCCCACTACCAGACACTCCATCGCTGTCTGGGGAGGGTAGAGAAGGGGGGGAGGTGGCTAACGAATCTCCCACAGCAGGTGCAGCAGCAGTGCGTGCCAGCCTGTCAGCCTGGAGGCTCGGCTTAGTGGGCCCACCACTGGGAATTCCGTTGGTGTCTGGGGAGGGGGGGGCGGGGGGTGGGCGGGTGGGGGAGAGGGAGAAACGAAGTCGGCGGAAGCAGCAGCCAGCCTGTCAGCCTAGGGGCACGACTCAACGGTCCAATCACAGGGCACTCCATCGCTGTCTGAGGGGTGTGAGGGTGGGGTGGGGAGTGGGGCGAAGGAGGAGGAGGAGGATTGGGGGGGGGCTGGTGTTGTGTAAAGGGACTAATGAATTTCGCACTGTTTGAAGCAGCAAGCGTCTGCCAGCATATCAGATGAGCGGCACGACTCAACCAACCAATCACAGCGCACTCCATCGCTGTCTGGGGGGTGTGAGAGCGGGGTGGGGAGTGGGGAGATGGAGGAGGGGTGGGGGGGTAAATACACTCCCCCCCCCCTCCTCCATCTCCCCACTCAATGTGTGGTGACCAATGAATTTCCCCACGCACAGCAGCAATTATCTGCCAGCCTATCAGCTGAGCGGCACGACTCAATGGACCAATCACAGGGCACTCCATCGCTGTCTGGGGGGTGTGCAGAATGGGGAAGAATTTGGGGTGGTGTGGGGAGGGGAGAGGGGGGGATGGGGGAAAGGGGAGGGGGGACATGGGGGGGGGGGGGTGGGGGGCTAGGGGGAAGGGGGAACAGTAGCGTCAGCAGCGTCTCTGGGGTCATGGAAGTTCCATTGTTGTTTGTGTTACCAGCCACAGGGTTCAGGGGTTTTGGTGCGTGAGGGTTCAGGGGTTGGTGCCTCAGGGTTCAGGGGTTGGTGCCTCAGACAACCACAGGGAACAACACTAGGCGTGTGCATATGGTCACCTCTCGTTTAATCACCTGTTGATGTCGTCACCTGATCCTTGACTCACCTGCACGTTCATCATAGCAGCATGTGGCACCGCTACTGTCACCTCCCCTTGCTTCACCCCCTTGGACCCCGCCACTGCTCCGATCCTGTGAACTGTAGCACCGCTCTTCACTGCATTATTAGCGCCGCTCTCTACTGAAGCGTCATATTTTACTGTAGCACCACTGGTTACTGCAGAGACGCTTGTCACTGGAGAACCACTTCTGGACGACCCATCTGCGGCAATCTCGAGGCGAATCCCCAACGGATCATGGCCCAGACCAGCCAGCCAATCAGCAAGCTTCGTTAAGCATGCGGCGGAATCTTCAACAACGCCGGACGAGTCTGCTTGTTCCGGTACCGAGACTGCCTTTAACGCGGATGACTGTTGGGACTTGCGCACGGGTATAGCGCGAAGCTGGCGCAAACCAAAGCGAGGCGAAGAAGCCAGAGAGGAGAGGGGAGATTGCTCCATGATGATGAGGGAACTTCGGTAACTTCTAACACTTCGGTACCTTCTAGAACTTAGGGAGTTTCTAGAACTTAGGGAGTTTCCAGAACTTAGGGAATTTCCAGAACTTAGGGAGTTTCTGGAACGTGAGGGGGTTCTGGAACTTAGGGGACTCGGCATCTGCTGCGAAAGAGGACGCTGCGTGGCTGGCGATCGCCATGATTGCATAGCTGCTGATCGCGCTGATTGCGTGGCTGCTGATCGCCATGGTTGCGTGGACCCCATTCTCACTGACGCACAATCCTTGGCAAGAATGCCTCCTTCTCTCCGGCCTATCGTGCTCTGCGCAAAACGCGCTGCACTCCGTGTTGCCGCTTCAACCTGTGATGCCGCTTTTCACGCGAGCCTGTATAACGCAGCGTCGGGGATCGACTCGTTAAGAGTGAAGGAATACTGTAGTAGGGCCTCGAACAAAGAGGTGCTCCATTGCTACCTATTATTCCGTGCATCCAACAGCTGGGAGATGAGAGTCTACACGTCAGACTTAGACGAACCAACACAGCACAAGATGCGCGGGTCTATTCACTAGGCGCCAAAAAAAAACTAAAACTCTACACCTTTGACTCAGACGAACCAACATAGCACGGAATGCGCGGGTTAGCTGCGGAACGAAGCTCCCTCACAAGGCCGAGGAACTTCGTTCACGGCTAGTAGTAACGCACACAACGGAGATTCTAAGAAACGAACACAGACGCTCCTCAGAGCAGATAGACGTCCCTTGATATTAGAGCAGGGATGGCATTTGCCAGCAATTGCGTGGGAGCGAAAGGCGGCTCGTCAGGCGAATGTGTGGAACTTAGTAGTCTTGAAGGCGTGAGTTCTATGCATGCTCTGCTGAATGCCCGACTGGGAATCGCAGGGCTCCCACCAGCCAGAACCCCACCGCAAGATCCCTCCTGGAATTTGATCACTCCCAGTAACGATGTACTCTCTACAAAGGACATCAGTGTATAATTCGAAGGCATTCAGGTACAGATTTTATGGAACTGCATAAAGTGGGTGACAATTCAGACGACATCAGGTGCCACTATAACGAGGACATCGAGATTGCTACCTTTGCAGGCTATTGTGCAACCAGAGCTATCCACGTGGAAATGTTGACTGACCAATCCACGCGTCCGTTTACGACCTGTACGCGGGAACTGAGATAACGCCACGTCAAGTGGGCGGAAATATTTGGTGGAGATTGCTTTCTCCCAGTCGTGCTGGGAATTCCACACAAAAAGCAGGGATGCAAGCGCATCTACGGCAGATGAAGCGTCAGCAGAAGTGATCGAAAAATCTACCGCTACAAAGACCTCGGAAAGATCAGTCAGGCGGAACTGATGCCGAAGCGCGCCGCACCTGTAACGAGGAACTCTATGACTGCCACGTGGAATCTGGACAGTGCTGTGACGGATCGAGAGAGTTGCTGCCGCCGCTCAAGCAAGTACACGACTGATTCATGTGCGAACCGATTCATCGCGAACGTCGCGACTGTCTCGCGAAGCTCGCGAGGTTCCCAGCGCCCACTTTGGTGGGGAAATGCATTCCTCCCCACTTGTCGCAGGAGGCCAGAAGATTGAGACCGACCACTGACCACCACCACCAAAGCAGCCTGGAGGGGGAGAGGGAGGGAGACAGCAGCAAAGCACAGATCGGGTTTATTTTCCAGAGCCTTGGGATCTGTGTCATTGTAGGCATTCCTCGAGCTCGCCTTGTCTTGGTGAGTGTGCTTGCTGCTGCTTGCAGCCAAGGAGTCTAGTTCTGGTGATCGGCAAACCTGTTCCTAGGCTCTTCGTCTCTCATTTGACCCCGGCTCGGTACCATTTGTTGGTCGTTCGCAGCGTCGGTTGAAACTAGTTGCATCCTTTCTGAAATCATACCGCTCAGAACGTCCCATAGCTTTCGCGGAGCCTTCTCGCCTACTGAGCCTCCGGAGTAATGATGGGAATGGCGGCAGCCGGAATGCAGGCTCCGCTTGCTGCGCGGGTCCTAGACGTCCGTAGCGAAGACCTTACGTCCTCCTCTCGCAAGTGGGGAGTAGTTTCGGGACTCGCTCCTTCTCTCAGACGGACTACCACTGGTCGTCTCAATTTCGCGTCCTCGATCGCTGGTACTCCCTTGAATCTCGGCGATCGTGCTCGGGTTTCGCCCGGCTGTGCGGGTATCCGAGCGAGTTCGCGAGCTCCGCTTTCGCTGCGTGCAGCGGTCGCGACGGACGAGCCAGTGGTGAGCATTTCCTTAAAAAAATCGGTATCTCGTGATTTGGTGCGCGGAAGCAAGTCAGAACCGAAGATCTCGAGCAATTGGTTTTTGAAAATTCTCAAGAACTGAAGATCTCTGGCAATTCCGACAAATTTTAATCCTCACGCAGCCTTTCTCTCTGAAATTCCGTTCTGATCGTACCTTCTACTCACTGAATCCAGCCGATACGCTTATTGTTTGTTGGCAGCATAGCGACCGTAGATGGCCAGACCATGAACTTCAATGTCTGCCCATCCTTCTGTTTCTCTCATTTTTCTCCATTTTTTTTTTTTTCTTCCGTCTTCGTATGTTGCGCTTGACGTGCTCATGATCGTACAGACACTCAGCCAGACGTACTCGCTTGAAGATGGCTCCAAGCTCGAGGTTCGTTACAATGACCATCATACAGGCTATGAATCTCATTGTGCAATCTATAACAAGACATAATAAAACAAGCAGCACGAGTCTGTAATCTCCAATATTTCTGATAACGGTCTACCTCCTTCGAAAGATGCTGCTTCCTCTAGTTCTCTCGTCCTCTCGAGGTTCCACTTCCGAGAGAATTCCCTTCAGCGCTGATTCGACCTTCGATGTTGCGGCGTTTCTAGATCCCCGTCTGACCCCATTCTCCCGTCGACGACCGTCCTGTTTCGATTGTCGCGCGCGAGCTTTCGCGGCGGATCCACGGATCTGCCGCCGCTCACGTGTGATTCTCGAGATGCTGCACTGCGTCTAGAGTTCCAGTTTACCCAAATTCGCCTGTCGGCAGTTCTGTTTCACCCGTTCCGTTCTACCCGTTCTTTTTTTTTCCGTCGCGCTTTTCAACCCATTCTGTCCCCCGCTATCACTGCAGGTCTTCACAGTGGGATCCACGGATCAGTCGTGCGCGCACGCGATTCTCGGGCCGCATGGCGTCGACCGTTCTATTTCACCCCCTTCGTTCACCCCTTCTGGTTTTCCCGTCGTCCGTCGTCTCTCGCTGTCGCCACGCCGCGGGATCCACTGATCAGTCGCACGCTCTCGTGCTTCTCGAGCTGCACAGCGTTTAGGATTCCACCCAACCTGCTTCGCCCCTCGCATGTTGTGTTCCGCCCAATTCCCCACAGGTCTTCGCCATGGGATCCACGCAGCAGTCGCACGCGCACGTGATTCGCGAGCTGCACGGCGTTTAGGACTCCACCTGACCCAATCTCCTGTCGCGTATTGTGTTTCGCCCAATTCTCCACAGGTCTTCGCCATGGGATCGACGGACCAGTCGCGCGCGCACGTGGTTCTTGAACTGCACGGCGGGCCGCTGGTGAACGCGGAGCTGATCGCGCACTGGGGGGCCATCCGCCGCGGGACCAGGTGAGCAGGCGGGGGCTTTACAATCATGGGGAGAGCGGGGGTTTGGGGGAGGGTAGGGCCGCTGGTGAACGCGGAGGTGATCGCGCACCGGGGGGCAATCCGCCGCGGAACCAGGTGAGCAGAAAGGAACAGATGACAATGCTCCTTCACGCCGCGAGCTGCACGGCGGGCCGTTGGTGAACGCAGGGCTGATCGCGCACTGCCGAGCGATCCGCCGCGGAACCAGGTGAGCATAAGGGTGCAGCGAGTGGGAGTGAGAGAATCATTGTTCCGGGCCCTGAATTCTCCGGCCTCCTCCCCTGGTGTCCTGCCCGTATCAGCGGATGGACTTTCCCTGACGTTAGCCTGTACGCCAGCCTGATGACGTAAGCCCCTACGTCTCAACAGATTCTCACAATCGTCTACTTTTCCCCCTACGCCCCTGGTGCTCCTCCTCTTCAGCGGGTGGACCCTCCCTGGGCTTCAGCCTGACGGCACGAGGCCGTACAAGAACCGCGCGCTTCAGTCACCCTTCACTAAGGTGAGCCCCAGTCCCGTCACCTAATCGTTGCAGCGAATTACTAACCAAAGGAAAGATTAGATGAACAGCATAAACGGGATGGGATAGTTTTTTCTTTTAGTTTGTAACAGCCGAGAAAGCGTTATTGGAACGTTTTCTTGCGAAGGGTTTCTTTCGTCTCTCATCCTAGACTTACGCATGTGTCTCTTCTCTCTCCCTGCTCTCCCTCCTCCCCGTTACCAGGTTGGAGACCGCCTGAAGCTCAAGATCGAGGTGGTGGACGCGGAGTACTCTGCAGTGGAGTTCACACTCAAGGACGACGCCACCAACGCCTGGTGAGAAGTCCATGTGGTGATGAGGTAGTAGAAGGTGTTCCTCTCTAAAAGGGGCGCCTGAAACTCAAGATCGAGGTGGTGGACGTGGAGTAATCGGCAGTGGAGGTCACTCTCAAGGACGACGCCACCAACGCCTGGTAAGCTCTCATACCCCTTACCCATTGCCCCCTGTGTAAATTTGGAGACCGCCTGACGCTCAAGATAGAGGTGGTGGACGCGGAGTACTCTGCAGTGGAGTTCACTGTGAAAGACGACGCCACTAACGCCTGGTGAGATATGTAGGCTTAGGTCTTTACCCTGTGCCCTTTCTATCATGATGGTAAGGCTGTGTGGAGCTCACGGTAGAGGTGGTGGACGCAGAGCATTCTGCAGTGGAGTTCACTCTCAAAGACAACGCCACTAGCGCCTGGTGAGATGTCTAGGCCTTTACCCTGTGCCTGCTGTCTAGACGGCAAGACCGTCTGTAACTCAAGATAGAAGTGGTTGACGCGGAGTGCTCTGCTGTGGAGTTCACCCTCAAAGGTGATGCGATTAACGCCTGGTGAGATTTGTAGGCTTGGGCTAAAGATAAGGGTTAGGTTTGGCTTACCCTTTGTCCCCTTTCACATCGGAAAGGCTGTGTGGAGCTCAAGATCGAGTTGGTGGACGCGGAGTATTCTGCAGTGGAGTTCATCCTAAAGGGCGGTGCCACCAACGCCTGGCAAGCTCTCATACCCCTTGCACGTGGACATCCCCAAGTCCCAGGCGCACGTCGACCCCGCTGCCCTTGTGATCCGTTCGCGCAGAGGGAAGAAGAGAAGAGGGGGTAAGAAAGGGAGGGAAGAAGAGAAGAGGGGGTAAGAAAGGGAGGGAAGAAGAGAAGAGGGGGTAAGAAAGGGAGGGAAGAAGAGAAGAGGGGGTAAGAAAGGGAGGGAAGAAGAGAAGAGGGGGTAAGAAAGGGAGGGAAGAAGAGAAGAGGGGGTAAGAAAGGGAGGGAAGAAGAGATGGAGGAAACACGGGAAGAATGACAGGGGAAAGAAAGGAGGCCCGGCCACCATTGTGATCCCCGAGGAGCTGGTTTGCCTTGCCCTCACCTCTGCTGTCACACGCTCCCTGTTCCTCCCCCCGCCATTTCCCCCCAGGTTCAAGTGCCATGGGACCAACTTCCATGTGGACATCCCCAAGTCCCGGGCGCGCGTCGACCCGGCCACCATCGTGATCCCCGAGGAGCTGGTTCGCGTGCAGGCGTTCCTGCGGTGGGAGCGCAACGGCAAGCAGCACTACTCGCAGGAGAAGGAGAAGGTGAGAAACGTTTGTGGTGTGGGTGCGAGTCTGTTGGGTGTTTTCAACACTGGCCTGTGAGGTGCCTAAAGGGCCATCCCAAGAGGAGGAGCTGGTTCGCGTGCAGGCGTTCCTGCGGTGGAAGAGCAACGGGCAAGCAGCACTACTGGCAGGACAAGGAGAAGGTAGGTGAGGGTGATGCTTTGGTTAAGGGGCCTCAGACACATCCGCTTGTGCAGTGCCGAAGATCGCGCTGGAAGGGCTGGTGCACGTGCTGCAAGCGCTCCTGCGGTGGGAGCGGAGCGGCAAGCAGCACTACTCGCAGGAGAAGGAGAAGGTGAGAAGCGTATGGGAGAGTGTGTTGGTTGAAACAGAAGGTGAGGACGATACTTTTGCCGCCTCTGCAAACCCCCTCGTTCCGCTCCCTCCACCCCTCCACCCTCACCCCCCGCCAGGAGGAGTATGAGTTGGCTCGTCTTGACTTCCAAAAGGTGGTGGCGGCAGGAGAATCCATGCGAGCTTTGGAAGAGAGGCTGCTGGGCGGAGGCAGCATGTTCAAAGGCGGTGGCCTCATCACCCGCCCATTCCTTTCCCTTTCGCCCAATCAACCATTCAACCCAAACCCGCAGGAGGAGTACGAGTTGGCGCGACTGGACCTCCAAAAGGAGGTGGCTGGAGGCGCAACCATGCAAGCCCTGGAAGAGAGGCTGCTGGGCGGAGGCAGCATCTTCAGACGCTCAGACGACCGGCAGCAGCAGCCACCGCCCCCACCCCCCCAGCGGCAACAGCAGCAGCAACAGCAGCAGCAGCAGCCGCCTGTAGAGCCGATCCCGAACGATCTGATCGCGATCCAGGCGTACGTGCGGTGGGAGAGAGCCGGGAAGCCGCAGTACGACGAGCAGAAGCAGCAGGAGGAGTTTGTCGAGGCGAAGCGAGAGCTGGAAGAGGAGGTTCGGCGGGGCACCTCGGTACTGGACATCAGGAAGAGGCTCACAGGAGGGAGTGAGGCTACGGCCCCGCCGCCCCCTCCCCCCCGCCCGCAACCCAGTGTTTGGAAGATCGAGAGGAAGCAGTGGGGGTATGATGATCTGATTAGCAAGGCTGGGAGGAAGGGGAGGAAGGGGCATGGGGATGGGGCGGCGGTGGCAGAGGCACCAGCGGTAGCAGCAGCTGCGCCGGCTGCAGCTGACGCTGCGGCTGCGGCGGATTCTTTGGAGCTGGCTGCGCAGATCATTGCCGGGGCTGGACTGGGGGAGGTGCTTCTGAAGAAGTACTACCGGCTGAATGAGAAGAAGCTACTGGTGAGTGGCTTACAATACACTGCTTTGAGAAAGGTTGTTAGTGACTGCTACACTACTGTATGAGGGCTCTAATAAGGATGGGGGGGGGGGGGGGGGGAGGGGCGGGCTAAACTGGGAGAGGTGCTTCTGAAGAAGTATTACCGGCTGAATTAGAAGAAGCTACTGGTGAGTTGAAGAGAACCGATCTGACTTGGAGCTCAAGGTGGGCTTGGCATTACCGTCAAAACCCCATCCCACCTCGCTTTTGAGTCGACTCCATTACCCTCAAAGCTTGACATTACCCTCAAAACCCCATCCCACCTCGCTTTTGAGTCGACTCCATTACCCTCAAAGCTTGACATTACCCTCAAAACCCCATCCCACCTCGTCTCTGTGCCCTTCCTTCTCGTCGTCACCCTGTAATCCGCCACCACATGATGTTGATGGAGTGCGACCGCGAGCTCAAGGTACGCGTGGCATCTCCGGTGCCTGTAAATGGACCCCATTCATGCTCATCCTTTTTGCCACCCGCCCCTCCCCCCCCCCACCCAACACCACCAGGTGATGCTGATGGAGTGCGACGGCGAGCTCAAGTTGCGCGTGGCGTCGGATTATCCGGAACCTCTTGTGCTCCACTGGGGGCTGTCCAAGGGGCGCAGCAGGAGCTGGCAGGTGAGGGTAATTACGGCATGATCTGAGGGTTTGGGGTTTTATGTATGGGGCTTGGATTAGCTTCAACGAGACAAGACAGCCCTTCACACCCCCTTATACAGCTCTGGGGGTTGTCCAAGGGGCGCAGCAGGAGCTGACAGGTGAGGAGACTTACTGAGCGGGTTTAGGGTTTAGAGACCAATAGATTTGGAGAAACAGCTCCATCTGGACCCCCTTGCTCTGCACTGGGGGCTGTCCAAGGGGCGCAGCAGGAGCTGGCAGGTAAGAGCGCATTTACAGAACAGAGTTTATGCTTCAGGGTTCAGGCTTCAGGGTTCAGGCTTCAGGGTTTAGGCTTTAGGCGTACAGAACAAGTTACGTTTCATGCACAGTGTGAGCTCAGGGTTCAGTTTTCAGGGCTCAGAGTTCAGGTTTTGGACGTGGAGATGCAGACCCTCGCTGTTCAACATTTTTTTTGTCAACATTTTTTTGTCAATATTTTTTGTTTGCACCCCTATCTCGCTGTTGCGCCCTTGCAGACCCCTCCACCCGGCATTGCTGGCTCCTCCACTCGCTTTGAGAGGGCGTGTGAGACGGAGTTCACTCAAGGCTTCGCAGGGGAGCCGTCTCTGCAGGTAAATGAATAGAGTAATGGAAAGGGGAGTGGTCTAGTGTCTACCGTCTCCCCCCGCCCTGGTTTTCTAGCCCCTCCACTCGCCTCGAGATAGCCTGTGAGACGCAGCCTGTGAGCCGTCCGTGGTACTGTGTGGGATTGTGGTAGGGGATGACCAAGGGGTAGATGGTGTCTGCAGGCCCCTCTGCCAATGTTTGCTGGCACCTCTTCGCAGATATGGCCGCTCGTACTTCACAACTGTCCCTGCAGGCTGCAGCTGGACCTTGCGGGCGCCAGGGATACCGTTTGACTGCCCCAACTGCCCGAATCAGCTGTTCCTCTTCCTAAATAGAGATTTTTGAGAAGTCTGAAAGATTCCCCTCACGCCTCACCTACACTTAATCCTTCAGCCCCTGCAGCCGGACCTGGCGGGCGTGGAGCAGGAGCTGCCAGAAATGCTCTTTCTGGGGCTCTTTGTCTCTCACGGCTGCGTGTCTTTCCATTTTCCCCTCACACCCCTCTCAGACTCCCCCTCTTCACATACCGGCCCTCACTTGACAACAGTCACTGCAGCTGGAGCTGGCGGGAGTGGAGCAGGAGCTCCCAGGGATGCCCTTTGTGGTGCTCCTGGCATGTCCCCCCCTGCTATCCCCTCTCTACCCTCACATCCCCCCCCCGCTTCCCACGTACCCCCTCCCCTTTCCTTTCCCTTCACCTACCATCAGTCCCTGCAGCTGGACCTGGCGGGAGTGGAGCAGGAGCTGCCAGGGATGTCGTTTGTGGCGCTCTTGGCATGCCTCGCCTCTATCCCCTCGAAACATCTCTCCCTTTTCACCTCCTCTCACCTCCTCTCGCCCTCTCGCACCTTCTCTCCCCTCCTCACATCACTGTCTTCCTCTCAACAGTCCCTGCAGCTGGACCTGGCGGGAGTGGAGCAGGAGCTCCCAGGGATGCCCTTTGTGGTGCGCGCGGGCGAGTGCTGGTTCAAGGACTATGGCCGGGACTTCTTCCTCTCTCTCAACCGGATCGACTACCAGCAGCCCAAGGTGAGCAGGGTGGCAGCACTTATGATACAGGGTACAGGGTTTAGGAATTAGTGGGGGAGTGCCGGTTCAAGGACTATGGCCGGGACTTCTTCCTCTCTCTCAACCGGATCGACTACCAGCAGCCCAAGGTGAGCAGGGTGGCAGCACTTATGATACAGGGTACAGGGTTTAGGAATTAGTGGGGGAGTGCCGGTTCAAGGACTATGGCCGGGACTTCTTCCTCCCTCTCTACCGGATCGACTACCTGCAGCCCAAGGTGAGAGAGAATGTGCAGAGTGTAGGGTACTACAGGGTACAGAGTTTAGTATGGGAGTGTTGGTCGACTCAAGAGTATGGGCGGGCTTCTTCCCGCCACCAACAACCAGCAGCCGACTGGCACTCGTTTCTCTGGAAGCATTATCAGCGTCTAGGGTTTGGGGTTTTGTAAGAGGTTGGTCGCTCCTTTGAACTCGACACATCATCCAGGATAGCACCCTGTGATAGTAATTTCGTTTTGAGACGTCTCAGAACGAAATTACTGTCACAGGATAGCAGCGTTATGCAAGGATTCGAGGGATGGCAGAACCGACTTAGTGTGTGGACATTTGTTGGGGTGTTCTGGGGCGGGCTGGCTGGCAGAGAAACGTGAGGGTGGAAGAGTTGTCGAAGGGAGCGGCGAGGCACGGTAGCGAGATCTTGGATTGGATCGCTGTGCTGGAACGGCGGGCCATGAAGTCACTTATGCATAGGTACAGTTGTAGACATCTCATGCTCTTGTATGCACCTTTTTCCTCCGTTTCTTCCTCTTTTTCTTCCATTCGTATCCCCTTGGCACCAATGGATGGGCGACACGTGGCATTGATGGATGGGCGACACATGGCACCAGGATGTCGGCGATGGCCGAGGCGTGGCGAAGGCTGTGCTGGACGAGATTGCTGACCTGGAGAGTGAGGCAGAGAAGTCGCTCATGCACAGGTGAGGGTCGCTCATGCGCGGATGAGAGCATTGTGGGGTTGCATGCATTCTCAAGGGGCGCTGCAACACAGATTGCTGACTTGGAGAGCAAGGCGGAGAAGTCGCTCATGCACAGTTGAGAGCACCTTGTGGGTTTGGTATGGCTCATGCACAGGTGAGAGCTGAGGTGCCAGGGTTTAAGACGCTCCTTGCAGTCTTGCGGCTGAGGCAGTGCTGGACGAGATTGCAGACCTGGAGAGCAAGGCAGCTTTTGAGGCGCCTCAAAAGCACTGGAGAGCGAGGCAGAGAAGTCGGTGATCCACAGGTGAGTTGTGGCCAGTTGAGGTGGTATGGTATGGCTTGGGCGCCCATCTATCAGGTTGTTAGCATCTTGTTTTTGCTCAAGGCGCTGCGCTGCTACGCAGATTGCCGCCCTGGAGAGCGAGGCAGAGAAGTAGGTGATGCTCAGTCAGGGGAGTTCAGAGTGAGAAGAATTCTCTGTGCCTCTATTGTTTTACAGCCCATCAGTTACGCAGTGTTCTAACCTGGGTACAGGGCTCGTAAGGCCAGTCAAGTCGCAGGGGTAGCTAGGTATGCTGGCTGTGCTTTTGTCAACCCAGCCGCTGCTCAATGTGTCATTCAACTGCGTACCAACCCCTTTATTCACTCACCCTGTATCCCAGGTTCAATCTCGGCACGCAGGTGCTGGACAAGGCCAAGTCGCAGGGCGATCTGGGGTTGGCGGCGGTGTTTGTGTGGTTCCGGTACATGGCGTCGCGGCAGCTGGTGTGGAACAAGAACTACAACGTGAAGCCACGGTGAGTGAGAGAGAGTGTGTAAGGGAGAGAGGGGGCGTGTGTGCATGTGTGCATGCCCGTGCGTATTGTTTGGTTTTGGTACATGGCGCCGCGGCAGCTGGTGTGGAACAAGAACTATAACGTGAAGCCACGGAGAAAGGGGGAGAGTGGAAGGGAGTGTGTGTGTGTGTGTGTGTGTGTGGGGGGGGGGGGGGGGGTGCGTGTGCATGCCCGTCTCTGGTTCCGGTAGGTGTCGTCACGGTGTGGAACAAGAATTAAAACGTGAAGCCACAGTGAGAGAGGGAGAGTCAGTGTGTGCATGCATGCGTGCGTGTGTGTGTGTGTGTGTGTGTGCGTGTGTGTGTGTGTGTGTGTGTGTGTGTGTGTGTGTGTGAATGTGACTGTGTTTGTATGGTTCCGGTTCACGGCATCAATCCAGCTGGTGTGGAGCAGGAACTACAACGTCAAGCCATGGTGAGAGAAGGGGAGTCATTGTGTGTGTGTAAGCGTGCGGATGTGTCTGTTCTGTGTGTGCGTGTGGGGGAGAGCGCGTGTGTTTGTGTGAACAAGAACTACAACGTGAAGCCACGGTGAGTGGGAGAGTGTGAAAGGGAGAGAGCGAGTGTGTGAGTGTGTGTGCATGCGTGGCTGCGTTGGTGTGGTTCTGGTTCTTGCTCTACATCTCCCTCCCCTTGCACTCCCCCCTCTCCTTCAGTATCCTTCCCCTTCCTCACAATGCACCCCCTCCCCCCACCCCTCACACTCCTTCCCCCTCCCCCACTCTCTCCGTGCCCCCTCTTTCCTCCCTTTCCCCTCCCCTTCCTCCCTTTCAATCCTCCAGTGAGATCAGCGTGGCTCAGAATCGCTTCACGACCATCCTGGAGGAGATCTTTTGATCCTCTCCCTGCCCTTATAATACCCATCCCAACCCACACCTCTACCCTCCCCGCTCCTCCCTTTCAATCCCCCAGTGAGATCAGCGTGGCTCAGGATCGCTTCACATCCGCCCTGGAGGACATCTTTTGACCCTGCCTTCCTTCCTGTCTTATGCCAGACTCCCTCTCCGTCCACTCAATACCAACCCCCTCCCTCTCCGCTCCTCCCTTGCTATCCCCCAGTGAGATCAGCGTGGCCCAGGATCGCTTCACGACCGTCCTGGAGGAGATCTTTCGATCCTCACCGTCGCTTCGCGAGCTGACGCGCATGATCATGATGACAGTGGGGCGGGGCGGGCAGGGCGACGTCGGGCAGCGCATCCGAGATGAGATCCTGGTGATTCAGAGCAAGAACCAGTGCAAGGGGGGGATGATGGAGGAGTGGCACCAGAAGCTGCACAACAACACCAGCCCTGATGACGTGGTCATTTGCCAGGTGAGCAGTAAGCCCAGTACCCTGTGCCCAGTACCCCAGTACCTGAGACCCTGAGGGTTGGCAACCTCCCCGTCTGCTCAGTCAGAGCCTCATCCCCCCTTCAACCCCTGAACCCCCCTTCCCCCCCCTCCTCCCAACTTTCGCATCAGGCCCTCATTGATTACCTGAACAGCGACTTCAACATTGACGTCTATTGGCGCACGCTCAACAGCAATGGCGTCACGCACGAGCGCCTGCTCTCCTACGACCGCCCCATCTGCTCCGAGCCTCGGTTCGTCGCGAGCCAGAAGGAGGGGCTGCTGAGAGACCTCGGGCACTACATGAAGTCGCTCAAGGTACGGTGCGAAATGAAACATGAAGTGACTTTTGAGTTGACTCAAAAGTCACCTCGTTAGAAGAAAGGGCTGCTGAGAGACCTCGGGCACTACATGAAGTCGCTCAAGGTACGGTGCGAAGCGAACCATGAAGTGAAAGCGTGTGAAGCGCAGCACATGCAGCGCAGCACATGAAGCGCAGCACATGAAGCGCAGCACATGCAGCGCAGCACATGAAGCGCAGCACATGAAGCGCAGCACATGCAGCGCAGCACATGAAGCGCAGCACATGCAGCGCAGCACGAAGCGCAGCACATGCAGCGCAGCACATGCAGCGCAGCACATGCAGCGCAGCACATGAAGCGCAGCACATGCAGCGCAGCACATGAAGCGCAGCACATGCAGCGCAGCACATGAAGCGCAGCACATGAAGCGCAGCACATGCAGCGCAGCACATGCAGCGCAGCACATGCAGCGCAGCACATGAAGCGCAGCACATGCAGCGCAGCACATGCAGCGCAGCACATGCAGCGCAGCACATGCAGCGCAGCACATGAAGCGCAGCACATGCAGCGCAGCACATGAAGCGCAGCACATGCAGCGCAGCACATGAAGCGCAGCACATGCAGCGCAGCACATGAAGCGCAGCACATGCAGCGCAGCACATGAAGCGCAGCACATGCAGCGCAGCACATGCAGCGCAGCACATGAAGCGCAGCACATGAAGCGCAGCACATGCAGCGCAGCACATGCAGCGCAGCACATGAAGCCCTGCTGCTCTCCTATGGCCAAAGGAAGCGCGAGCCAGAAGAAAGGGCTGCTGAGAGACCTGGGCCACTGCGTGAAGTCGCTCAAGGTGAGAACTGACGGGCCATCATTTCATGTAGTTAGACTCACTTTTGAGGGCTACTGGCCCCCTCTAGTGTGAGCGTCCCAGTGCGCTCCTCGTTTGTATGGGCTGCCTTGTGTCATTAAACGCTCGCATAACCTGCTGGGTGTATTTTTAGTCGACTCAAAATATACCTAGCCTGAGCGTCCCAGTTGCTCCTCGTGTGTATGGGCTGAGTAACGTGTATGTCCTGTATGGGCTGCCTCGGTCTCAGTAAACGCTTGTGTAATGAGTATATTTTCGAGTCGACTAAAAACAGACTCTTTGCACACTCCTCGTGTGTATGGGCTGAGTAACGTGTATGTCCTGTATGGACTGCCTCAGTCTCAGTAAACGCTTGCACAACCTGCTGGGTCCGTCTCTCAAGATCTGACTACTCGCCTCCGTTCGTCTGTTTGATCCAGGCCGTTCATTCCGGAGCTGATCTGGAGTCTGCCATTGCGACGTGCATGGGCTACAAGCAAGGCGCAAGGGTCAGTTCCGATCGGCGCACATGCATTCATGGGGCTTGCTTGGGGCATGCCATGGGGCTCGCATGGGGCTTGCATGGTGCATGCATGGCGCTTGCTTGGGGCTTGCATGGGGCATGCATGCTTATGCACTGGGCATGCTTTGGTTCCCTGTCTGCCGCCCAGGGGCACCAATGGTCATGCAGGTGCAAGCATTGAAGATTTTTGTTTGTTTGTATGTACCCGCGTACTGCTCTTGTCTGTATCTACCCGCGTGCACAACCATTCACTCAAGTGCATTGGCAAGCGCCTGAAAGAACGACCACCCAGCTTGAAGGGTCCATTTCGTAACCTTGAACTCGCCGTTAAGTTTTCTCCGTGTCACACCATGCGTGCACATTCAAGGCATCTCACAACCTATTATTTTTGTTATGATTTTTGTAATAAGGCTGACAGTATTGCTCCCTGTGATCTTCCCATGCGTCTCGATTGCAGGCTGATTTTATGAAGTCTATTGAGATCCATCCTATCAATGGCCTTTCCGGGAACCTTCCGGTGAGCTCATTCTTACCACAAATGCCCAGACTGCTCTAGGGCTGCTTGAAATTTCTTGTTGAATTTCTTGAGGGTCACTCTGGGTCACGAAGTATTGTACTGGGGTGGGGGTTACATTCGTACGCCTAGGATTGAGCTCCTTGAAGAGTTGAGCTCCTTGAAGAGTTGAGCTCAACTTCTTTTGGCTAACTCCTTGAGCTCCTCAAAATGCCCCGACACCCCCCCCACCATTCTCCCCCCCGTTCTTCTCTTCCCCCGCCTAAACCCTAATCCGCGCCCCAACTCCCCTTCCCCTCCGTCCCTCCCTTGACTTTTTGAAATTGCAGAATCTGCTTCAGTTTGTGTTGGAGCACGTGGAGGATAGGCAGGTGGTCAACCTGGTGGAGGTGAGTCAACGCAGGACAGACAGAGTCGAATGCAGGTCAACCAGAGTCAACGCAGGTACAACCAGAGTCAACGCGGGTACAACCAGAGTCAACGTAGGTCAGCAGAGGTGGGGGCCAAGATGGTCAAACGGAGGGTGTGGCAGAGGGGCGTAGATGAGTCCATGCAGGTCAAGCAGAGGGTGAGGTGAGTCAACGCTGGTCAACGGGCAGCTTGTCATGGGATCCCAGGACCATTGCTACTACCCCCCCCTTCCCTGCGCTCTTCGTTCCCCCTGACTCCCCCCCACCCCTCCCACCCCCCCACACCCCTCCCCCCACCTCCCCCCCTCTCCCCCATTCTCAGGGCTTATTTGAGGTGCGCAGAGAGCTGTAGCCATCCCTGCTGCGGCACGTGCAGGAGCGCCTCAAGAACCTGGTGTTGCTGGTCTTGGCTCTGATAGATCAACCCCTCCTCCCTTCCCTCCCTCCCGTCCTTCCTCAACCCCCAGGGCTTAGTGGTGCGGCCGTCTCTGCTGCGGCACGGGCAGGAGCGCCTCAAGAACCTGGTGTTGCTGGACTTGGCTCTGATAAATCAACCCCTCCTCCCTTCCCTCCCTCCCGTCCTTCCTCATCCCCCAGGGCTTAGTGGAGGCCCGCAGGGAGCTGCGCCCTACACTGCTGCGGCACGGGCAGGAGCGGCTGAAGGATCTGGTGTTCCTGGACCTGGCGCTGGACTCGACTGCTCGCACGGCCATAGAGAGGGGCATGGGCGACGCCAAGAACGCAGGGGTGAGTGCCGGGAGAGCGGTGGCAAGCGGTGGAATGGGATGAGGTGGAATGTGGTGGAGTGTGGTGGGTTGTGCTAGGACAGGAGCGGCTGAAGGATCTGGTGTTCCTGGACCCGCACGGCCATATTGAGGGGCATGGGCGACGCCAAGAACGCAGGGGTGAGTGCAGGGAGAGCGGAGGAGAGTCGGGTTGAATGTGGTGGAATGGGGTAGTATGACGCGATGGAGTGGAGTGCGGTGCGGTTGGTAGTACTAGGAGGGGTGCAAGGACCAGAGAGGAGCAATCTGGGGGGGGGGGTTTTGTCGAAACAATTGCTGGTAAATGCAACTTGTTAGCCTCACTTTCCTGATCATCCTCTTTCCGTTCTGCTGGCGTTTCCAACCGTTGCAAGATGGCGCACCCCATTGCAGTAGGGCACAAAATCGCCCCATTGTTGCTGTGGTCCTATACAACCCCTTCAACCATCCACCCATGCTTCAGAAATTCATGTACCTGGCGACCCTGCTGGTCGAGATTGGAGAATTGTGTGATGTGTACACACGCCCCTTAACCCCATTCTTATCTCCATCTATCCCCCTTCCCACCCATCCACCCATGCTTCAGGAAATCATGTACCTGGTCTGGTCAGTCTGCTGGTGGAGGTCTTGAGGCCTCTCATGCCCCTTGACCATCTGGCTTCCCCTGCCATCCACCCGTCCACCCATCCACCCATCCACCCACCCATACATCCATTCCCTCAGGAGATCATGTACCTGGTAACTCTGCTGGTGGAGAATCTCTGCCTCTCTATTGACGACAACGAAGAACTCGTCTTCTGCCTCAAGGTGGGTTGTTGTCTCCTTGTAACGAGGGTGATGTGGAGCCTCTGCCTGTAAAGCTCGTTTTTTTACTCATCACAATGAAAAGCTAGTTCTTTAATGTGGGTCTTGCCAACAGCAGAACAATGTGTGTTCTTTGTTCAACAAACCTAACTCTGGGGTGGCGCCACGTGCTGGATTCGATGAATCGGGACTGCCAGTGGGCCCTGCGAGCAGAGACACTGCAGTGTCCTCAGATCGCCCTGCTCTCCCCCCCACTTCCTCCCACCCTCCAGGAGTGGCGCCACGTGCTGGATTCGATGAATCAGGACAACCAGTGGGCCCTCCGCGCCAAGGCTGTCCTCGACCGCACACGGCTCATTCTGCAGGGCAAGGCGGAGCAGCAGCTGGCGCTCTTCCAGCCGGCGGCTGTCTACCTGGGGGCGAGGGTGGGGGTGGAGCAGTGGGCGGTGGACATCTTCACTGAGGAGGTCATCAGAGCAGGCTCTGCTGCGGCCCTTTCCCAGCTGCTCAACCGGCTCGACCCGCAGATCCGACAGGCCGCTGACCTGGGCAGGTGAGAGAGAGGGTGTGCCTATGTGTGTGTGTGCTTGTAGGAGTGGATGTACGGCGAGTGACACAAAGGTTGGCCGTCCCTTACCTCTCTGTCACCCTCCTTTGTCATTTCTTTGTTAACAGCTGGCAGGTCGTCAGCCCTGCGGAGGGTGGGTGGAGGCGCTGAACGAGCTGGCAGGGGTGCAGGAGAGGACGTACGAGCCACTCACCATGTCTTGAGCCCTCCCCCTCCATCCTCCCCTCCCCCCCCCACACCCCCACCTCTTCCCCCCCCCTTTTATTGGCAGCTGGCAAGTGATCAGCCCTGCGGATGTGCGAGGGTGGGTGGAGGTGGTGGACGAGTTGGCCGAGGTGCAAGAGAGGACGTACGAGCGGCCGACGGTGCTGGTGGCGCGGAGAGTGAAGGGCGAGGAGGAAATCCCGGCTGGGGTGGTGGCGCTGCTCACCCCTGACATGCCTGATGTGCTCTCACACGTGTCTGTGCGCGCAAGAAACTGCAAGGTCAGTCGGTTGTTTCCTTGAATATGAAGAGTACTAGTCTGCCCATATGGCATCAGTGCTGGTGGTCGGAGAGTGAAGGGCGAGGAGGAGAGGAGATCCCCGCTGGGGTGGTGGCGCTGCTCACCCCTGACATGCCTGACGTGCTGTCGCACGTGTGCGTCCGAGCAAGAAACTGCAAGGTCAGTCCGACGTTCCCTTCACTACAGAGGGGTAGAGGCTACTCTGCTCGTATGGCAGCAGGGGTGGTGGCGCTGCTTGCCCCTGACATGTCAAACGTGCTCTCCCTCCCTTCTTCTCCAGGTGTGCTTCGCCAGGAGGGCTCTAGGGGAGTCACGCGCCGCACTGCCCAGGCTTTCAGCCATGCTCTCACCCCCTCAATTCCCTCCATCCTCCTGCTTTCCTCCCCCCGCCCCAGGTGTGCTTCGACCCCCAGCTGCCGGACTCCATCGGAGCGCTGCAGGGGAGTCACACGCCGCACTGCCCAGGCTTTCAGCCATGCCCACCCCCTCAATTCCCTCCATCCTCCTCCTTTCCTCCCCCCGCCCCAGGTGTGCTTTGCCACGTGCTTCGACCCCCAGCTGCCGGACTCCATCCGAGCGCTGCAGGGGAAGGGAACACGCACTGCCGTGCCTTCCTCCTCTACTCACACCTGCATGCATCCCTCTTTCCACAACCTCCCCTCCGACCCCCCCCTTTTCCCCCCCGCCTCCCCCCCCAGGTGTGCTTCGCCACGTGCTTCGACCCCCAGCTGCTGGACTCCATCCGAGCGCTGCAGGGGAAGAGCACTCGTTGTGCGCCCAACACCTCGGGCTCGGAAGTCGTTGTCAGGTAGGTGATCAAGGAAAGATGCGGGCGTAGGTGTGTGTGTGTGTGTGTGTGTGTGTGTGTGTGCGCGCGCGCACGCGCGCGCGCAAGTGTCTGACCATGCTGTTGGATGCCCACTAGCAGAGCGTGTATGTGATTGCAACAATCACCAGGGCCGTGCAGGGGAAGGGCAATCTCTGTGCGCCCAATGCCTCGGGCTCGGAAGTCGTTGTCAGGTAGGTGATCAATCAAGGAAGGATGCGGCGGGCGTAGGGACGAGTGTGTGTGAAGTGTCTGACCATGGTGTTGGATGCCCACTAGTAGAGCGTGCATGTGATGGTGATTACCCAGATGTTGTTAGAGCCCTGCAGGTGAAGAGCACTCGTTGTGCGCCCAACACCTCGGGCTCGGAAGTCGTTGTCAGGTAGGTGATACAGGATGCGTGCATAGGGACGTGTGTGTGTGCAAGTGTCTGACCATGCTATTCGATGCCCAGTAGTAGAGCGTGCATGTGACTGCAATTTCCCCTGCAGGCAGGGGAAGGGCACTCGACTATTTGATTGTTATTGCCTATACATGCCTGTTTCACCCCCTTTCATTTTTTTTTTTCTTCTTCTTCCTTTTCTTTTTGCAGAGAGATTGGCCCAAAGCGGCCTAAGACAGAGGAGCAGCAGACCTGACAATTGCTTCATTCTTACACCATCCCAACCCATCCCACCCCTTTCCACCCCTTTTGACCTGATTTCACCCCTATTTGAACCATTTCAGTGAGATCGACCCCAAGCTCATGTCTGGAGGAGATGGAGCAGCAGCAGACCTGGCAGGGCCGCCTCCTGGTCTTCACATCAAGAGGAAGCAGTTCGCTGGGCGATACGCCGTCACCTCGAGTGAATTCACACCAGAACTGGTAGGTGGTAGTGACATCGCACTAGAAATGGTGTGCGCTAGCTGGCAGCAAGTGCCCAGGCAGGCCCCCCTCACATCAAGTGGAAGCAGTTCGCTGGGCGATACGCTGTGACATCCAACGAATTTACGCCAGAACTGGTATGCTGTGTCACAGCATATCTCCCAGCACACATGCTGGTATGTTGTTTTGATTCTTATTGGAACTGGTATGTGTGTTTTGTTTTTGAGAATCCTCAAAAACAAAACGCACACTAGCAATTAGCAGACCTAGCAGGACTACATAGCGAGCTGCCCTGTCATGGGGAACCCACCTGCATTCGCATCCAAACCTCTCTCCTGCCCTCCCCATCCTCCCTATGTTCTGCTGCCCTTCCCCCTTCCTCACCCCAACCAGGTGGGAGCCAAGTCGCGCAACATAGCAGGGCTGCAGGGCAAGCTGCCCTCGTGGATCCACCTGCCCACGTCCGTGGCTCTGCCCTTCGGGTCCTTCGAAACTGCCCTCGCCGACCCCATCAACCAGGCAAGTGTTGGAGCGTTACACCGACCTTCTTTGCAGGGGTCTAGAGTTAGCGCCTGGGCACAGCTCCCCTCGTGGATCCACCTGCCCACGTCCGTGGCTCTGCCCTTCGGATCCTCCGAAACTTCGCTAGCCGACCCCATCAACCAGGCAAGTGTTTCAGAAATTCAGAGTCCGTAAGGTTGTATTTTCCAAGTCTCTAGCCCTTTCCCCCCCAATAACCCATCCACCTCTCTCATTTCCCTTCCCCCCTGTTCTCTCCATATGCCTCCCTCCCCTCCATCTCCCTTACCAATCCCGTCCCCTCCCCCGCCCTCGCCATTATTCCCTTATGGCCCACTCCTCTCCCTTCCCCTTCCCTTGCCAATACATCTCTTGTAAGCTAGACTGCCCGTGCAAAGTTGTACGGCCTCTTCCCATTCCGATCAACCTGTCCCATTCAGAACATTGCTGTGGTGTGGAGACCAAGACTATGTGTGCTGACCTGCTCTTCCCCCCTTCTCTCCCCTCCCCTCCTCATCTCCCATCCATTCAGAGCGTTGCAGCGGAGATCAAGACTCTCAGTGCGGACCTGGAGAAGGGAGACGTCAGCATGCTCCCCAACATCCGCCGGGCCGTGCTGGGGCTTAAGCCGCCGCCGCAGCTGGTGAGCTGGGGGATGGGGAGTGAACGCATGCAAGGTGTAGGAGGATGAGAGAGATGGGTGTGTCAGCAATGCGGCAGCATGCTCCCCAACATCCGCCGCGCTGTGCTGGGGCCGAAGCCGCTGCCGCAGCTGGTGAGCTGGGGGATGGGGAATGTTGACAAAGGAAGTGCATGGGAATGGGTGGGGTGGGGTGGGATGGGGTGTGGCGGCATGCTCCCCAATATCAGGCGTGCCGTGGTGGTGAGGGGGAGGGGGAGGATGCATGGGGCTGAGGCCACCACCGCAGAGTAATTTCGTTTTGAGGCGTCTCAAGAGCGCCAACACCTCTTACCCACGTGTGTGCTCATGCACCTCTATGCGATACTGGCTCTCTCTTTGTGCCTCTCTCAGGTGTCGGGCCTCAAAGACATGATGAAGAAGTTGGACATGCCTTGGCCGGGGGACGAAGGGGAGGGGAGAGTGAGAGCACAAGCACCTCTACCCCGGGTGTGTTTATGTGCCTCTCTCCCATCCTGCCTCTGTCTCTCCCTCTCTCAGGTGTCGGATCTTAAGGACACGATGAAGAAGTTCGACATGCCCTGGCTGGGGCATGAGGGGGAAGGGCGAGTAAAGACACAAACATTTCTACCCCATGTGTGCTTATATGCGTCTATGCGATGCTGCCTCTCTCTCTCCCTCTCTCAGGTGTCAGACCTCAAGGACGCGATGAAGAAGTCCAACATGCCGTGGCCGGGGGACGAAGGGGAGGGGCGGTGGGAGAAAGCGTGGGGGGCGATCACGCGGGTGTGGGCGTCCAAGTGGAACGAGAGGGCATATGTGAGCATGCGCAAGGCACGGCTCGACTTCAACTCACTGTCAATGGCGGTGCTCGTGCAGGTGTGTGCATGTTTGCGTGTGTGCGTGCTTGTATGCGTGTGTGTGTGTGTGTGTGTGTGTGTGTGTGTGTGTGTCTGTGTGCGTGTGCTTGCTCGTAGGGGAGAAGGTGTTTGTTGCAATTACCAAGGCGTGGGGTGCGATCATGCGGATGTGGGCGTCCAAGTGAGCATGCGCAAGGCGCACCTCGATTTCAACTCACTCGCCATGCCAGTGCTCGGGCAGGTGGGTGGGTGTACACGTGTGCTTGTATACGTGTGCTTGTATGCGTGTGCTTGTATGCGTGTGCTTGTATGCGTGTGCTTGTGCGTGCTTGTGTGTGAGAAACCCTCCAGGGGAGAGAAGAACCAGATCTATGCCGAGGTGGCCACAGGGGCGGATCAACTCCTTCGTGCGAAGCCATTCCACTTTCATCCCTCTCCGCTGCCCCATATGATCGCTTGCAGGAGATCGTGAGGGCGGACTACGCCTTTGTGGTGCACACGGAGAATCCCTTCAGCGGCGACAAGAACCAGATCTCTGCTGATGTGGCCAAGGGGCTGGTGTCCCTCTCACTCCAACATGCGACTTGTACCCTTCCTCTTGCTCGTGCAGGAGGTGGTCAGGGCGGATTACGCCTTTGTGGTGCACACTGAGAATCCCTCCGCAGGTGACAAGAACCAGATCTACGCCGAGGTGGTGAAGATACTGGAGGAGACGCCGGTCCTCACCAGAAGATCTTTGCTTCTCTATCCCACTTCCTGCACACCCCTCTCCTCTACACTCCCCTCCCCGCAGGAAATCGTGTGGGCGGACTAAGCCTTTGTGGTGCACACGGAGTATCCCTCCGAGGCCGATAAGTACCAGATCTCTGCTGAGGTGGTCAAGGGGCTGGTGTCTCTTCCCCGCTCACCGACATTCTCTTTCACCCACCTTATGTGATGTGCAGGAGATTGTCAGGGCGAACTATGCGTTTGTGGTGCACACGGAGTATCCCTCCGAGGCCGATAAGAACCAGATCTCTGCTGAGGTGGTCAAGGGGCTGGTGTCTCTTCCCCGCTCACCGACATTCTCTCTCACCCACCTTATGTGATGTGCAGGAGATTGTCAGGGCGAACTATGCGTTTGTGGTGCACACGGAGTATCCCTCCGAGGCCGATAAGAACCAGATCTCTGCTGAGGTGGTCAAGGGGCTGGTGTCTCTTCCCCGCTCACCGACATTCTCTTTCACCCACCTTATGTGATGTGCAGGAGATTGTCAGGGCGGACTATGCGTTTGTGGTGCACACGGAGAATCCCTCCACGGGCGACAAGAACCAGATCTACGCCGAGGTGGTGAAGGGGCTGGGGGAGACCCTGGTGGGTGCCTTTGCTGGCCGGGCACTGAGCTTCAGCGCTGACAAGGGGCACACGGACAGACCCAAGGTGAGAGACGCCGACAGACAGACCCAGGAGTGTGGGACAGAGAGACAGTCCCAAGGTGAGGAGTGGAGTGGGGGAGAATGCGGAAGGAGAGGGTGGTGGAACACTGCACCTGGGGGTGACGCTGGTTGGGGCTATTTATTTATTTAGTGTTCTAGAACAATGCCCTGCCCTTTTTCTCCCCCCTCTCCTCCCCTGAGGTCGTCGGCTTCCCCTCCAGGTCCTTGGGTGTCGTTATCCATTTGTCCAACATCGTCCGGCCTTGGGAGATCCAGTGTTGATCCTCCTTTCCTTGTTCCCCACACTCTTTCCCCTTCTCTCCCCCACACCCCCCCCCTCCCTCCCTTTTTCCCCGCTCACATCCCCCTCTCTTTCCCCCAGGTCCTTGGCTTCCCCTCAAAGCGCGTGGGTCTCTTCATCCGTTCGTCCATCATCTTCCGATCCGACTCCAACGGGGAGGACCTGGAGGGCTACGCAGGAGCAGGGTTGTATGACAGGTGAGGAGAGTCGTCTTGAGAAATTTTGAAAAAAAAACACACGAAGGAGCAGGGCTCTGTGACAGGTGAGCGAGAAAGCTTGTTTTAGGGAATTTCTCAAGAGCACCTTTGCCCCGGCAAAGAGAGGGCAGGCATCCGGGCAAGAAGGCATCCGGGCTTGTGTTTTCGTGGGTCGGCTTGCTTTGCTTTTCTCTCTCCTCCCACCCCTCTTTCTCATGTTCTTCTCTCACGTTCAGCCATCCGTACTGCCGTAGTTGTTGTTGTTTTTTTCTTTCTTTCTTTCTTTCTTTTTTTTCTTTTCTTTTTTGCCTCTCTCCCTCTCTCTCTCTCCCCCTCCTTCTCTCTCTCTCTCTCTCTCACACTCTCTCTTTCACTCTCTCTCTCTCTCACTCTCTTCCTCTCTCTCTCTCTCTCTTTCACTCTCTCTCTCTCACTCTCTCTCTCCCACTCCTCTGTTCTGTACCCCTTATAAACTTTCTCAGTGTACCGATGGATGAAGAAGAGGAGAGAGTTGTGGACTATTCCTCAGACCCTCTAGTGGTTGACGCAGGGTTTCAGCACTCTGTCCTCTCTAAGATCGCATCTGCTGGCGAGGCTATAGAGCAGCTGCTGGGCTCTGCGCAGGATATTGAAGGCGTCATCAAGGATGGGAAGCTGTATGTTGTGCAAACGAGGCCGCAAATGTGATGGTAATGATTTAATATCTGCACAATTTATCTAGTACAGGCAGATGGTACATGTATGGGCTCATATGATGCCAGACGATTGGTCATTATTATGTATCGTAGTTCTTAATGGTTGTTAAAATTTCCGGGCTTGCACTAGTCAGATGTATGGTAAAGTCTTGGCTTTCTGGAGCATTGGTATTACATGGGATACGGAAACACAAACTGACTTCAACATGCTGAGATGTCTCACACAATCACATGGACGACGAAAGTGTGAGCGTGTCGGTATTGGAAATGCGAAACACAATGCACCAACTATCCACTACACAAGTCACTGTGACTAGGAAGAGGGGAGGGGAGATACAAGTACAAAAAATTGTCCCCTCTATGAACTGACCTAGCTAGGCTATAACAAACATATCTAAACTAACTAGATATGTGCACACCAGTGCTGATTTTATCATACTATTTTAGTCTGATTGCCTGAAATCTCATACCCATTTTTTTGCATAGACTCAGACTTAGGCTTTTCTGGATACTGAACCCTTCAGAGTTGTATGATTTTGGATCCTGAAGATTTCATAGTAGTTGTAGTGCGGATACTGAGTTTTCAGAGTACATCGCGTATGGACTCTGAATGCGACATACATGCACCTTCTACTTCCCACGAGATTTCCTCTACTACGTCATATGCTGCCTGCCATCATTTCACCCCCGCACGTCTCACGTAAAGTATCTGCACTTGGCAGGACTCCCGCCCCTTGTGTGACTGTGATGCTGCCCTCAATAGGGCATGATGCATGACGCATGCCCTTAACCAAGAAACACGCGCCTCAGACTTGATGGTGCCCTTCTTCTTCGTCCCTCTCATCCCTCCCGCTCCTCTCAGGCGCACTCAGGCATTTAGACGGGGTTTGTAAAGCTTCCTCCTCAATCCGTGTTTCGGAGTTGTCCTCCTCACGTAGGTTCTCGTTTGTCGACCCCGTCAACAGCCATTGCCTCATACAGCAGAGGCCCGACTCTGCCCGTTAACTGCGTCACCGCCACCACAGTCCGCTACAGCGTGCCCTGCGTGTCCACGATTTCGTCTGCGAAGAAGCAACGGATGGGCAAGTACACCCAGTCCCAAATCATGATCGGAGGTAGGCTCCACCGCCCGTCCCCGCTGCCATCACCTAGTGCAGTCCCTGTCGTCGATGAACTGCCACGGCCAACGCTGAGTAAGAAGGAATTGATTGAGCAGAAATACCTCGTCGCTGAAGCGAAGTACAAAACTTCATGGCTGCCTTTCTTTCCTTGGCTACTGCTAACCAAAACAAAAGACGGCTACCCTGCTCTCAAGTGTAGTGTCTGCATGACGCATGGCAAGGAGACCACCAAGTACAGCTCTTCGGGCGACGGTGGCCGAGACCTGCAGACACACACCATGCACATACATGAACACTCCTCTGCACACAAGGAAGCTATGGAGGCCCAGCTGAAAATTGCCGACGACATCGTCGATGGGCAGAAGATAATTGACAACTACTTGTCGTCGGATGTCGAGGGGAGGTGGGTCGTGCGACTGCTCCGCGCCGTTGAGTTTCTCTGTAAGGTCGATGCTCCCATCAGCATGTTTCCTCGGCTATGTCGCCTTATGGCTGAGCAGGACACCCTGGACCTACCGCTCCAATCTTACGGTGTTTACGTCACTTGGTTAGTACCCGCGAGTACAGTCCATTACTCCGCCCCATTGGATATTTTTAACAAGTAATCCTCTTCTGCGTGAAGGTACGGCTTTCAACAGATGGTCCACTGCTTGGCGACTCTTCTTCAACGGACCCAGATGCAGCACATTCAGTCGTCCCCGTTCATCGGCATTAGTTGCGACGAGAGCACTGATCGTACCAGAGGGAAGCACCTGATAGGTTACCTCACGTTCCTGCGCCATCGCTGCGTCGTCACCAAATTCTTCTCGTTGCTGACCGTCGAGAAGTGCGACGCCGCCTCCCTGCTCTCCGTGATCCTCACTCATCTTCAAGGCGCCGGCATCGAACTCAACCGCATCGCGGGAATCAGCACCGATGGCGCTTCCGTCATGGTGGGGCACGAGAACGGTCTCGTGGCGCGGCTCCGCGAGCACGTCCCTCACCTTGCGTCGTCCCACTGCATCGTCCACTGGCATAGAGTCATTATGCAAATGTTCTCACTTCTTTGTTTTTAATGGTTTACTAATTTGTTTTGATGGACTGTGCGCAGGGAAGCTCTGGCTGTGAAGGACGCCGCGTCTGCCTGTCCAGACTTGGACATGGTCGACAAGGTTATCCGAAATCTGGCCGATCTCCTCGGTCGTTCAAGTGTGTGGAGCCAACGGTTCAAGTACCTGCAGCGTGTCATCCACAAGACGAACCTTGAAGTTTAAAGAATCCACGCGATTCGGTGGCTGTCCAGGGGCGAGGCAGTCAGACACCTCTATAAGGTCCTCGATGCTGCCATCGTTTTACTATTTGAGTAAGCATGAGCTGTATGAGGTTGTCATCTCATACAAGTTTCAGTTTTGTCTCTTCTTCCTGGCGGACGTCCTCGCCATCATGAACGAGCTCAACCTCAAGCTTCAGAAGCGAGAGGTGAGCCCTTGCATGTGTGCTTGTGGTATGTTCTTTCACAATCACCACTAACATTCTGTCCCTTGACTTGCGCCCCCATGTTCCCACACCCCCCCCCCCCCCCCCTCCCCCCCCCCCCGCCCGACCGCAAGTGGATGTCACCGAAATAACAAAGGACGTCGACAAGGCGGCGGGGGAACTTTGGCACCGCTACTTGGAGTGCGGCGGGGTTTCGGTGTGGGCGTAAGCGGCACGTGGCTGTCGGCTTTCTTAACCGTGTACGAGCACGGGGGGGCGAAGAGAGTGAAGGTGCGCGGCGTCGACAAGGATGGGCAGCCAGTGACACACACGTACCAGATGCACCAGCGGCAGATCAAGGGGCATGTCTACCAGAGCAACTACCGGGACAGTGAACTGTTGTGTGCGAAGTTCGCGAGAGGGAGCACGACGAACATGCTGGAGCAGCTAGACGACCTGTCGAAGCTCGGGCCGACGAAGCTGTTTCGGGCGGGCAAGTGGCCGCGGCTTCGGATGGTGAGGGAGAAGAAGACGAGGGAGTATCTCCATCGCTGCAATGCTATCTTCGACGACAGGCTCCCCGGGTTCGATTTGAAGGAGGCGGAGAAGGAGCTGGCAACTTGGGCCCCAATCATGCAAAACCACCACAACAAGGAGGGATTCTTCTAGGGCCTCATGAACTACCTTGGCAGCACAGAGTCAAGCAGGTAAGTCGAGCCTCCAAAGCACGCTGCTCTGTCTGCCTGTGTATGTTTGTTTTTGCCAGTTTGACCACACTGCCTGTCTATGTTTGTTTCTAATTCTATTGTTCCTTGCCCACCATGCCCCTAGTTTGTTCCTAATTCTATTGTTCCATGCCTCTTGTGTGTGGTTGTTCCATAAACAGGCGCTGGCCCAACCTCATGCTTCTCTGGCAAGCCAGCGTGGTGTTACCATTCTCAACTGTGAAGTGCGAGCGTGGTTTTTCCAGGCAGAATGTGATCAAGTCTTGGGTCCGTGGTGCACTTTGCAATGCCCGCCTGGGTGAGCTGATGATGATATCACTGCTGAAATACAAGATCGACTGGCAGGAAGCGCTGGAGCTGTGGCATGCAAAGAAGAGAAGACCAACAAAGTCGGTGGTGTTCGCATCACAAGAGAGGAAGCGCAAGGGCAAGGCTCTGCTGGAAGAGGCTGAGCAGGAACCTCCGATGCCAGACTACTTAGGAGAGGATTGGTATGAGGAGGAGGAGGAGGGGGAGAGGGATGGTGGAGGTGCAGAAGCTATAGAAGACAACCCCTTCCTGTCGGATGATGAGGCGGAGTATGTAGTCTCTGTGGATGTGCCAGAGTTCTATAGTAGATAGCCTATGAAATTGGAGTAGGTCTTGGTTAACTGCCAAAATGTTTTGAAATGATGGCGAGTAAATGGTGAAATCACGACTCTGATTGATACCTGCGAACCCTGAAAAAATCAGACTTGAGACTCTCTGATCCTGCAAAATGAGACTACCAGAAATCTGAAACCTGGCTACTCAGACTTGGGAAAAATCTTTGGGGCCAAAATCAGAGTGGGTTTTTTTGAAACGTCAGCCTTGGTGCTCACAGAATACATGTTTGTTGACACACCCCCTAGCCTAGGTAAAGGCAGAGTTTGACAAGCTAGGGTAGCGCTACTAGTCTGGCCACTGACATAAGAGGCCACAAGGCCAGTCAGCAGGTGTAGCAAGACATACAGGTATAGAAATATAATAAGAACAAGCAGGTGTAGTAGATATCAAGATACAAGGAGTGGCGTATTGACGTGAATGAATGACTAGAATAGAAACATACAAGGGAATATAACCTAATGGGTTGTACTCCCTAAGGCACAACCCTATATAGTCTATAACAACATACAATATATGTTTGACACACCCCTAGAAAATGAGAGGCTACAGGAACGAGACCCAGCTGTACACAGTGCCGCTGATGATCTTTAGGCGCAAGCGCCTTAGTAAAGGTATCAGTTGTGTTGGCACCGGAGGCCAAGTGTAGTACGCGAGCCTGGCGACGCTGCTGCAGCTCGCGCTGGAGGAATTACCGTAGCTGGATGTGCTTCGCTCTGCCCTCAAGTCGTGGCTCCTGACACAGGAGGATCATGGCCCTCTTGTCAGCATACAGAACCGGGGCAGAGCTAGGCTGCTCAGCCAGGTCGGTGAGCAAGAAGGTCAGCCAGCAGAGCTCCCGTGCCGCCATGGCACCGACGTATATCTCAGCCTCAGAGCTAGACTGGGCAACAGACAAGGAAAGGATGGCACCTGCACCAAGGCTAAAGCAGTAGCCCTGTGAGGACCTGAGAGTCTCGGCGTCGTCTGCCCAAGAAGCGTCTATGTGGCCGGTAAGGAACACATGGTCTACGTCCTCCTAGCACTAGCCCCATGCCTGATGTGTTTGCTAGATAACGCAAAACCCTCTTAGCTGCCGAACAGTGCTGTAGGTGGTGTCTGCCGGGGGCCACAAAGCGAGCCAGGATGCTGAGAGGGTATGCGAGATCTGGACGTGTGCAAGTCATCAGGTACATGAGGCAACCCACCAGCTATGA